CGTAAAGAAATAGAGGAAGCTGCAGCCAGTTTATGGCCTTTAGAAAGGAAATGCTTAAAGCACTGAATGAAATAAAAGAAACAGAGTTGAAGGAACTAAAATAAAAACAGGAAAGTACAATCAGACAGGTGAAGGAAGTAAACAAAACAACTCAAGACCTGAAGATAGAATTGGAAAAATTAAAGAAAACACAAATAGAGGAAATAATGAAGAGGAAGAATCTAGGGAAGAAAACAGGAACTACAGAGGTAAGCATAACCAACAGACTACAAGAGATGGAAGAAAGAATCTCAGGTGTAGAAGATACAATGGAAGAAATCGATGTATCTGTCAAAGAAAATGTTAAATCCAAAAAAATCCTGACACAGACCGTCCAAGAAATCCAAGACAATATGAAAAGACAAAACCTAAGAATAATAGGTATAGAGGAAAAAGAAGACTCCCTTCTCCAAGGCCCAGAAAATATTTTCAACAAAATCATTGAAGAAAATTTCTCCAAGTTAAGAAGAGGCCAATAAGAATCCATGAGGCCTACAGAACACCCAACAAATTTGACCAGAAAAGAAAATCCTCCCACCACATAATAATCAAAACAGTAAGTATACAGAACAAAGAAAAAATACTAAAAGCTGCAAGGGAAAAAGGCCAAGTAACATATAGTGGCAAACCCATTAAAAACACACCTGACTTTTCAACAGAGACTATGAAAGCCAGAAGGGCCTGGATGGTTATCATGCAGACCATAAGAGAACACAGATGTCAGCCCAGGCTACTATACCCCACAAAGCTCTCAGTCCTCATAGATGGAGAAAACTAGATATTCAATGACAAAAACAAATTTCAACAACACCTACAAACAAATCCAGCATTGCAGAAGACACTGGAAGGGAAAATACAACTCCAAAAAATTAGCTTCTTTCAAGAAAACACAGGAAATAATTAACCTCACAACAGTAAAACAAAAAGCAACCGAGCACACAACCTGATGACCACAGCCAACATCAAAATTAAGGGATCTAACAGCCACTGGTCATTAATCTCTCTCAACATCAATGGACTCAACTCTCCAATAAAAAGACACAGATTAACAGAATGGATACGTAAACAAAACCCAGCAATCTGTTGCATACAAGAAACACACTTAAGACACAAAAATAGACATTACCTGAGGGTAAAGGGTTGGAAGATGACTTTCCAAGCAAACGGACGCAAGAAGCAAGCAGGAGTAGCCATTCTAATATCTGATAAAATAGACTTTCAACCAAAATTAATAAAAAGAGATGGGGAAGGACACTTCATACTCATCAAAGGAAAATTTCACCAGGAAGATATCACAATCCTGAACATCTATGCCCCAAATACAAGAGCACCCATATTTGTAAAAGACACATTGATAAAATTTAAACCACATATAGATCCCCCCACATTAATAGTGGGAGACTGCAACACCCCACTCTCAACAAAGGACAGGTCAACTAAACAGAAATTAAACAAAGAAACAATATCTCTGACAGAGGTCATGAATCAAATGGACCTAACAGACATTTACAGAAGTTTACACCCAAACACAAAAGAATTTACTTCTTCTCAGCACCTCATGGAACCTTCTCCAAAATAGACCACATAGTTGGTCACAAAGCAAGCCTCAACCGATACAAGAAGATTGAAATAATCCGTTGTATCTTGTCTGATCACCATGGAATAAAGCTGGACCTCAACAATAACAGAAATAGCAAAAAGCCTACACAGACATGGTAACTGAACAACTTGTTATTAAATGACAGCTGGGTCAGGGAAGAAATAAAGAAAGAAATTAAAGCTGATAAACACCTTCAGCAAAGTGGCCGGATACAAAATTAACTCAAAAAAATCAGTAGCCCTCCTGTATACAAAAGACAAAAGGGCTGAGAAAGAAATTAGAGAAACAACACCCTTCCCAATAGCCACAAATGACATAAAGGACCTTGGTGTAACCCTAACCAAGCAAGTCAAAGACTTGTATGAAAAAAATTTCAATTCTCTGAAGAAAGAAGTAGAAGAAGATATGAGAAGATGGAAAGATCTCCCATGCTCATGGCTTGGCAGGATTAACATAGTAAAAATGGCCATCTTACCAAAAGCAATCTACAGATTTAATGTAATTCCCATCAAATTGCCAACACAATTGTTTACAGACCTGGAAAGAAAAATTCTCAACTTCGTATGAAATAACAAGAAACCCAGAATTGCTGAAACAATCCTCTACAATAAAAGATCTTCTGGAGGTATCTCCATCCCTGATCTCAAGCTGTACTATAGAGCAACAGTTATAAAAACTGCATGGTACTGGCATAGAAACAGAATGGTGGATCACTGGAACCAAACAGATGACCCAGAAATAAACCCACACACTTATGGACACCTGATTTTTGACAAAGATGCCAAAACCATACAATGGAAAAAAGATAGCATCTTCAGCACATGGTGCTGGTCCTACTGGATGTCTACATGTAGAAAAATGAAAATAGATCCATACTTATCACCCCACACAAAACTGAAGTCCAAGTGGATAAAAAAACTCAACATAAAACCAAACACATTAAATCGGCTAGAAAAAAAATGGGGAATACCCTAGAACTCATTGGTACAGGAGAAAACTTCCTGAATAGAACACCAACAGCACAGGCTCTGAGAGCAACAATCAATAAATGGGACCTCCTCAAACTGAAAAGCTTCTGTAAAGCAAAGGATTCTATCATCAAAAAAAAAAAAAAAAAAAAAAAGCGACTGCCTACAGATTGGGAAAGAATCTTCACCAACCCTTTATCTGACAGAGGACTCATATCCAGTATATATAAAGAAGTAAATAAGCTGAAAAGCAACAAACCAAGTAATCCACTTAAAAAATGGGGAACAGAGCTAAACAGAGAACTCTCTGTAGAAGAATATCGAATGGCAGAGAAGCATTTAAAGAAATGCTCAACCTCATTAGCCATTAAGGAAATGCAAATCAAAACAACCCTGAGATTTCACCTTACACCCATCAGAATGGCCAAGATGAAAAACTCAAGTGACACCACATGCTGGAGAGGTTGTGGAGAAAGGGGATCCCTCCTCCACTGCTGGTGGGATTGTAAACTTGTACAACCACTCTGGACATCAGTCTGGCGCTTTCTCAGACAACTAGTAATAGCGCTTCCTCAAGATTCAGCCATACCACTCCTAGGCATATATCCAAAAGAGTCTCAAGTACACAATAAGGACATTTGCTCAACCATGTTTGTAGCAGCTTTATTTGTAATAGCCAGAAGCTGGAAACAGCCCAGATGCCCCTTAACTGAAGAATGGATGCAGAAATTGTGATAAATCTATACAATGGAGTATTACTCAGCAATGAAAAATAAGGAAATCATGAAATTTGCAGGTAAATGGTGGGACCTGGAAAGGATCATCCTGAGTGAGTTGTCCCAGAAGCAAAAAGACACACACGGTATATAATCACTCATATAAACATACAACATTGGATAAACCCACTAAAATCGGTACATCTAAACAAACTAAGCAAAAGAGAGGACGCTAACTAAAACGCTCACTCCCCATCCTGAAAGGCAAAGAGGATGGACATGGAAGAAGAAGAAAACAGGAAACAACCTAGGAACCTGCTAACAGATGGCTTCTGAAAGCCAGAAGAAGAAAACAGGAAACAACCTAGTAACCTGTCACAGAGGGCATCTGAAAGCCTCTGCCCTGCAGACTATCAAAACAGATGCTGAGCCTGATGGCCAACTGGGGAGCAGAGTGAATGGAATTTTATGTAAGAAGAGGGAAATAGCAAGAGCTGGAGAGGACAGGAACTTCACAAGGAGAGCAATAGAACAAGAAAAATTGAACACAGGGAACTTCCCAAAGACTCATACTCCAACCAAGGACTATTCATGGAGATAACCTAGAACCCCTGCACAGATGTAGCCCATGGCAGTTTAGTGTCCAAGTGGCTTACATAGTGATGGGAAGAGGGACTGCCTCTGACATAAGCTGATTGGCCTGCTCTTTGATCACCTCCCCCTGAAGGGGGAGCAACCTTACCAGGCCACAGAAGAAGACAATGCAGCCATTCCTGATGTGATCTGATAGACTAAGATCAAAAGGAAGGAGAGGAGGACCTCCCCTATCAGTGGATGTGGGGAGGAGCATTCATGCAAATAGGAGAGGTAGGGTGGGATCGGGAGGGGAGGAGGGGGGGCTTATGGGGGGATACAAAATGAATAAAGTGTAAACAATAATAATAATAATAATAATAGCAGTCTAGACCAAAAAAATTAGAAATTAAAAAAATGTCAATTTTTAAATCAATTTGGGTTACCAAATTTTCTATTGTATTAAGGATAAAATATATCCCAACATACAAAGTATCATTATTAGTTGGCACATTTTATTAAGAACATTTTAATAATAAAAGTCAACTTTGGAGGAAATAAATTATATTATAAAATAAAAATACAGTGTTAAATTTTCCATATTACTTTTCTCTGTTCATTTTACATACTCATCCAAATAATTCCAATTTGTCTTTGATCATTTTATGAACTTATGGCTTTAAATGTATTCAATTATGTGAGTTCTATCCTTCCTTTCATTCGTAAATGGTGATCTATTGCCTTATTGATGCAATATATTAAGCTAATGTAATAAATCAACACTACACTGAGTTATGTGAACAAATGTAATTTAAGTCAATTAACTATAAACTAAATAAAGTTATGGTTTTAAAGGGAGCAAAAATGAGCTGCTAATGTTTGATAATGCCTTGCCACAAGACATATTAGGTCCTATGGTGAATGACAGCACCGTTCACACTGACTTCTCTCTCAGCAAGCTTGAAAGGGAAGTTGCGCTGTGGTAATACTGGTCTTTATCTTGACGGACAAAAGCGGTTGTGAGAATGTGTGGTATCATTTCCTTTAACAACTCAGTACAGGACCACTCTTGAGTTCCTTATTTCTACGTTGCAGAGGCAGAAACACGGCTCTTCGCTTCCTTTCCTGGTCTTTTCTCCTTTTGTAAGCCCTGTGGAAAGACTCCTGATAGTATTTTATTCACTATGTTTAACTATGAAAAAGCATTCATCAGTGGAAGAGAGAAGAACTAAGTAAATCTGACATCTCTTGATCTTCGCGACAGAATATGAAAATGTCAATGGTTGTCTTTTCTCAATTAAATATGTGTGAATCAAAAGAGAAAACTTTTTTCAAACTAATACATGGGTCAGGAAAAGAAGAAACAAGTATCGAGGCCAAAATCAGGTAAAATTGATGATATTCAAGTCAACTTTGTATTTTATGAACCATGATTGATGAATATCTGTTAGCTCTTACTGTTTAAATATCTGTTGAAAATATATTGATTGTAGTGCTGCAAACAGTGGGGGAAGCTTTTTTTTATTATTGGAAATAAATGTTGAGTCTAATGTAGTTTTATTTTTTAAAGGTCAACAATTTTAGCTACATCAAAGCGTTAAAATAATAATTAATAAAATAGAAGCTCAAATACTTGTTTGTTGTTGAAGTGAAGTATTGTGCGTGGGCACTGTATGCTAATTCCTCTATTTACTGTTTAACTAGAGCTGGTAAGTAAAGAAAGATATTTTTTGAGTGGTGACTGTGCGTTTATCAATTCCAAATTTATTTAGGAGGTTAAATAGGACTTCGGGGACATCAGAGATTGTCCTAAATGTATTATTGCTTTTACAGAGCTAAAGAGAAAAGAAATAGATTAAGTCTTCTTCTGCAGAGGCCTGAATTCCACGGAGAAACTAACACCAGTAAATCTGCCCTCTTGGCCAAAGAAACAAGGTGGGGACCATCAATTCCTTGTGAGGGTTGTTTTCTGATTCTGTAATTAATGATTAAGTAAGAATCAATATGCTATTGGAAATTACATAGTAACATGAACATAATTCAAAATTTTATATTCGCCAAACTAAAAAAAACCACAGCATTCAACCACATTCATAAATCAAATTATTACAAGATCTTTTAAATTTTTTCTCTCATAATTGATAAACCTGTACATTTTAAATAATATACTTTGTGGCCCATAAATTGATGAAATATTAATTTGTTTAAATACTATACATTTGCCATGAGAAGAAGTTATGAATCTCTTTCCTGAGAAGATTTCTTTTTCTTAATATGTCATGGCAAACAGCAAGGAATGCACAAATAAAGCAAATTTTGTAATTTGGTTAGCATTTCCTTAACTCAAAAACCTCAAAAGTAGCCTCATCTCTTAGCTTACAGTTACTCAAATTTTGAATATGCCTAGTTAAAGATATAAAAACATTCCACTCTGTGCTATATCAACATCTTCAATCATATCAAGAATGCACTTTCTGTTACCCCTCTTGAAACTTTATCAAACTTTATGCATAAGAAAACACCAGCACATTGTGGTTACAGATTCAAGGAAATTGCCTCTTTATTTGGCGAAAGGACTTTGAAAGATCCTGTTTATGCTTTCTTATTTGTTGATTTTTTTAAATGTAGTTTCTCTCTCTCAACCTCATTTCTCTTGTACTTTTAACTTAATACATGATTACTTTTACTTAAAAACTAAAACAATTGCGACACTTTGTTTAATGGGGAAATTAAAAAAAAAAAAACTTGAGTAATGTTGAAAATCATTTTGACTTAGGCTTATAAAACTAAAAGGGGAGATCTTACAGAGTACCAGTGGAGCGCTCAGGCTACAGTCACAGCAGGGACTCAGAAGTCAAAAGTCTGCTCACTCCATCATCAAACTTTTTTTCTGCACAGAGTCTGCCCTGAAGAAGCAGTGAAATGGGCTGAATCATTTGACAAACTGCTTTCTCATAGAGGTTAGTGGTATTTCACCAAACCTTCATGTTTTAACAAAATATTAAGCTTAGATACCTGCAATGATAAAAGACAAATAGTCATCAGATTTGTATATCAGTAATTGTCAGTAGTCCAAATTCTAGTCAACAGAGGTAACTAAGGAAAAGGGTAGGCTAAAGGAAGATGTATTTTTAATTTTCCTACTTATTCAGAATTACTTTTTATTGGTGCATTCGTATTATTTCTTTTCCTTTTCTTCCAGTTAAGCACTACAACATTTTCATTTCAATTTTAAATTTCCTGACATTTAAAAGAGAATCAGTTTTATTAAATGTATATTTAATACATTGTCCACATTGTTTTATTCTTAGTGATTAAAGACATGAAGTAGCTATTCTGAGAAATATTTAAGGAACCCTCATGAGAGCATAGCTTTGTATCAGAATTCTTATGAATTCCTATAGCTAGCTCTATCAGAGATCAGTTTTTAAATTTTTTTCTTTCATTTTTTTGATATTTTAATTGGATTATTTCCTGTTTCCCTTTCCTTCCTATAAAAACTCCCTTGAAGCCTCGTTCCTCTTTTTCAGTTTCATTCCCTAACATTTTCACTAATTTTTGTCATATGCCTGCATAGGGCAGAATCTTGTAGAGAAGTTGAGATCCAGGAGTGTATTAATGTTGAGCATTGTGGCTGAAAAAAGTGAATCAGAACAGGCTTAATTCTTCAACAAGCTAAGTGTGGATAAGAGGCAAGCAGCTGGTTCTTGCTTTCTGGTCTGCCCCTTTCAAACTCTTTTTCTTTTTTCTTTTACTTTCAAACTTTTAATTTATTTTTTTCTGAACTCAGTTCATTTTTCTCAAGTTTCAAAGTCAACAATTTGCAATTATTACTTGATGGAAAGACACAGAGTTTATTTTCTTTACTTAACTGTTCATCTGTGAAAGTAAAACTACCATATCCAGATACACAGGTGTCGACAGCCACAGAGTTTTTGGTTTTGATTTTGTTTTTTTTGTTTTTTTTTTTTTTTTTGTCTACACGCTAATGGTGTATCTTACCTCACTCTTTGAAGCACTCTGTCTTCCATGCTTCCCAATAGACCATTCTAAGAACAGGCCAGACCACCACTTCATACCTAGGCATGGCACAATCCAGTTGGCTTATTATCTTCAGCTGGGTGCTAGAAGAAATGTTTTTCATGTCCAGGGGAATTTGAGCAGAATATCAGAAATTCTACATCTTTCATCAGTAGGAAAAAGCAATTTCCCTTTTATTTTCTCATTTCATAGTGTGTACATGAAGCCAAATATTTTTATTGTTTTTTGGGAACATTTAAAAATGCTTTCTTCTGTGCTGGACAGAAGAGGATCAGATTTTTAATTTTTTAATTAATTACACTTTATTCACTTTATATCCCAGCTATGGCCCCCTCCTCCTTCCCCTTCCAACCCCACCTTCCCTCCCTCATCTCCCATGCCCCTCCCCAGAGGATGAGACTTAAGAACAACATTGTTTACATAGTAGGTTTGAAGTCAGTGTGGGTTCCATGACACTCTGGATCAAGCTATTAAAATATTTTTATCCAATATTTTTATTTATACAATAAATTATTGTTAATCATCACTGCACTATAGGTTAGAACATAAAAGCCATTCTCTTCCAACAGAACTAAATTTACACTCAAATACTAACTTCTTTGTATCTTCTATTACCTTGTAGCCCTTTTAGCCTGTCTATTCTGAATGTTCTACTCTCAATGTTTAATCAGTATGTGATTACTTCTATCTTCTACTTCTATGAGATAAACTTGGTTATGTTCTATGTAAAGGGCCTGTCTTAATACCTGACATGGCATCTTCACATTTCACTCCTTAATGTCATAGATTGGATAACTGCACCCTACTTGTGGGAATACAAAACATTTCATTATGAATGCATTTCACATTTTCTTACCCATTCATTTATTGATTAAACTAAGTTAGTTCTGTAACTTAAACAACACATGTAAGGTCATCTTCAGTTTTTGCTGTCAATATTTTACTTCACATAAAATTTCCTTCATAATTTTAACTTATAAAATGTTACATTTTTATATTTTTAACCAACATTTTGTACATACTATTCTTTAGTCTAGATAAATGAAAATAAATTAAAATTGTGAGATTAATTTTTATAATTGAATGATGATATATTAGAAGTAGCCATATATGGTTTTACCTGTGGAGCCTTAAAGTAATATGCACTGAAAAATATTAAGTTCTTATATATTAAAATAGAAGTTATGAACAGACCCCTTTTATGTGTGAGGTGTTTTTGTAACATAAATGGTTGAATAACCTTAATTTCATTCCATAATCACATTGGATTTCATCTCCTACACTGCAGACTTTTTTATTTATCAAAACAACAGATTCATAAAATATTAAATGACATGATGTGTTAGGAAACCAATAAATAGTGCCAACTATACAAAGACTAGTGACTGCTGCTATAATGAATTATAGTAATTATCACATTAAAACAATCCTTTTCTATTTCCAGTATGTTATAAACTAGACAACAAAGAGGGTTGGAATTTCTATTAGAAGTGATGTTTGAACTGGATTTATTACTCTAATTAACAAATTGCTATATAGCAATTTCATCATACTCTATTCATCCAAAGTGAAGAAATGCTTAGGATGTGGAGTAGTTCTCATGTCAGATTCTGTAATTCCCTATTACTAGTACTGAAAAACAAATGGGTTGAATAGGATGTGACACTCTTTCTCTCCCTAGTGGTAGAAGTACTAACAAAGTACCAACTACCACAGGTGAAATTTTAAGAAAGTATGTGAATTTTATAAAGTCACCACTCATCTAACTGTATGTCACTAATCACCTCGTGTGGCTAAAATACCAAATAATTATAATAAATTTAAAAATTATGCTACTCGAATTCTTTTACTGATTCAATTATTTTTCACTGAAATAATTGTAACACTAAATTATGAAACTTCAAATAATTACACAAAATACTTTTGATTATAATACTTAACTCAGTTCATTTCTAGTAATTTGACGCTGTATGTTTGTTGGGGGGAAATTATATACATAGTGAAAAAGCAATCCTGAGCAAAACAAACAAACAAACAAACAAAATGCACACATACACACACCTCTCAAGGAAGATCCCGATCCTTCAAATTTTATATAAGTTCTTTTGAACTAAATGTGTTGATTACTCAGGTTCAGTATGGCATATTTGTGTAAAGGTAATAAATTTAGTCAAACAGGAAATTAGGTTATTTATCAAACAAGGTGCAGTGGAAATATGAATTCATTGTTTCATAAAATAAACAGCTGTAAAAACCAGTGTAAACTAACAGGAAGTAGTAGCTTTAGCAATAGAACCACAGGATAGGCATTTTTGACCCCCGTTTCAAAGGATTCACAGAAATTCGCTAGCTCAACAAAGTGAAAGTGAAGATCCAAGCAGGCAGGCAGTCTAGGCTTGAAACTTCACATTGTCTGAAGGATTTAGAAAATTAAAAACAATTATCCACTATGACCAAGTAGGCTTCATCCCAGGTATGCAGGGGTGGTTCAATATACGGAAATCCATCAATGTGATCCACCATATTAACAAACTGAAAATTAAAAATAAAGCATTTCTTTATTGCAACATGTTACCAGGTACTAGAGTAAAAGAAAAAAAAATCCCTGTATCTTAAAGAAAGCAGTGTCTAAGAGACATTTGGATAATTATCGATTTAAAGTTTGTTTTTATTTATTTATTTTATTATTTATGTTTATGAGTGTTCTGCCTGAGGGCAAGTATGTACACCTCTTGTAAGAATAGGGCCTCCTTTTCTTAAGGACTAAAGTTAAATATGGCTGTGAGCCTCCATGTGGATGCTAGGAACTGAACCTGGGTCCTCTGCAAGGACTGTCTGTTCTATGAACTTCTGTGCCAACTCTAAAGCCCAGTTTTGATGATTTTTTTATTCAAAGTTTAATTTTAAAAACTGAAATACATAACAAAGTTGAACCAATTAAATATGCATGTGGTAAGGACTGTTGTTAATATATCAAAACAGTTTTGTTAATTTTATTATATATCAATTAGTGTAAAGTATTATTGGTAGGAAAATTAAATGTAGAAAACATAAAAATAATGTGTGTGAATAAAAACCTAATATAAATAAAAATATGCTCTAAAATAAATTTTTATTTAAATGAGGTAAACTTATATTACAAATTTTGGCACAACAGAATTCAACAATTACTATTGCTCCTTATTTGTTTCTATGACAATGTTCATATATACTTACTTTAAATCTTTGTTTATTGGAAATTTATCTGAAGTTCAAAACTGAATTATAATGTAAACTATAATGTAAACATATATGTTTAGTGAATCGAAATGTATTCATGTATCGAAAATAATGTCACAGTATAACTGACATTCATAGCCATTAATTTCAAATTACATTGATCACCTTTATAGAAGTGAATCTTATCATTACGAACATGAATATTTTATATGAAATAATGCAAAAGAAATATTGTGTATGTATATCATACACATATATATTTAGAGAAAGCCAATACTTCTTACACAATACAAAAATGGAAACAGTTGGATAACAATTAACAAAAAACTGAAAAATCAGTTTAAAGACAAACTTTGGGAGACTTTTATGTTGGAAAACTACCTCTGATGGACAGAAGGGCAGAAATTTATCAAAGGGCTATCTACAAGTTTCTTTCAAACAAAAATTTTGTTCTGAGGATAGGGCCATGTTGATAGGAAATTCAATGAACTTACTAAAATATTGGTGTTATACATGTGCTCAGAAGGTGCAAAAGAAAAGGCTCAACCAATATTATCTAGATCTTCTCTCTATTAATTGGAAGAAAATGTTCCTGTTTTAGAGGAGAAGTGGAGGGCAAAGCATGTAGAGTGTAACTGGCTACAGTTAGAGACTGTTTAGTGAACATAAGTCCTTTCCAGGAGTTTGTCAGAGTTTTGTA